CAGCCGAAGGACACGAGGAAAACAGGAGGAATTATTCAAGTTATGATAACAGCTACGTTGATAGTGAGTGGCAGAGCGGCCTCTCTTTCGTCACTTTAGGCTTTGTATCAGAACGACATTTCTGTTGTGTGTATTGGTGCATTTCATGGCTTTCCTTTCATGTTTTATCTCGCTGTGATATCACACACCTGCGTTGTTCATTCTCTTTTATTTTGTTACACCGTTTATTTATTTACCATGAATGTATGTATGCATGTGTGAATCTATCTGCCTATCTATCTACCTGTCTATCTATTTATCTATCTGTCTATCTATATAAATATATGTAGCCATTTATTTATTTATTTCCATTTTTAGTCATATCCCCTCTGGTTTTTTTTCCTTCATAAGGAATGAACGATATAGGAGATAAAGCAAATAGCATTTCAGTTATTGGATTTTGGATTAGGATGACCTTTGGCCGCATTTTTAGTTAAACAGGTGTTTACCATTCATTTCTTCTTTTCAGTTTTACGCTAAGTACAATGCTTCATTTTCTATAGATAAAAATGCAGTTGAGAGGATGGTGATGATTAGCTGAATGCAATAGGTCAGAGAACATAATTAAATTATCGTCACCTTCTGCCACCCTGTCATGTCACCATTGGCCTTCAAAGTGCATCCTCGCCTCCTTAAAACGGAATAAAGGCTATTTCTTTTTGTCGCAAGATGAGCTTATATTGAGTCAGGAAATTTTGAAGTGTACTGTTTGCAGAACCAGCAGTTACTAATTATTAAGATAAATATACGGTGTTTTGATATTAAATGGATATATTTAGTTTTATAAGATATGTGTCCTGAAAGCACACCTGACATTTCGATCTGACCACGCTGCCCCACCTGCAAAGAAACGCTCGGTCATGTTCCTCTTCATGCAGAATTCAGACATTTTTTTCCCTGAAACAGAAAGCACAAAACGAATAAACCGTCACCGTGGCAGACACAGTAGGCTTGTGTTCTCCTACCTACCCTGCCCTTCCTTTCCCTCCCTCCCTCCCCTCCCTACCCCCTCCCTCCCCTCTTTCCAAACCGCCCCTGTGAGGTTTCGTGAGCTCACACTCCAAGCCCTCTCTGTTACCAAATCCCTGTGTGCGACGGACCCCCAGTTTGTGTTTCCTTTGCTGCTGTGCGGAATCCTCTCTAAAGGGGATTGCGTTTCCCCCCTTTTTCATATTTCCTTTTTCCCGACGCCCGATTCTTCGTTCTCATATCCATTCGAATATTTTGTCTAAGTTCTGGCATATCCGTGAATTCCTTCTACACTCGCGACGTAAGAAAGAGGCTCAGGGCTAACATTGGACGGTTCTGGGCTTTGTAGAGAAAAGAGAAGAGAAAGAGAAAGAGACAGAGAAGGAGACAGATAAAGAGAAAAGAGACAGATAAGAGAAAGAGACAGATAAAGACAGAAAAAAAGTAAAAGAGACAGGTAAAGACAGAGACAGGTAAAGACAGAAAAAAGTAAAAGAGACCGGTAAAGACAGAGACAGGTAAAGACAGAGACAAGTAAAGACAGAGACAGGAAGAGAGAGAGAGAGAGAGAGAGAGAGAGAGAGAGAGAGAGAGAGAGAGAGAGAGAGAGAGAGAGAGAGAGAGAGAGAGAGAGCCACGCCTACTTGTCTGGTTAAAGTCCGGGCTATAAGTAATCCTTTCCTTCTTGCTCTCCTCTGTCCCTGTCTCTGACTTCAGTAGGATTTCCTTCACTTCATTCCAAAACGGAAATTGTTATTTTTACATATATTCACGTTTGTGTGTGTGTGTGTGTTGTGTGTGTGTGTGTGTGTGGTGTGTGTGTGTGTGTGTGTGTGTGTGTGTGTGTGTGTGTGTGTGGAAGATAATGATAATATTGTTAGTTATAATTAATTAATAATAATATAACGATAATCTGAGTATTGATAATCATCATGATAATATTGATGATAATAATATTAACTTTAATAATGATAATGATTATTATAGTAATGATGATAATTGTAATGAAAATGATAACATTAATATTGAATGATAATAACGATAATGACAGTGATAATATTGGTAATAATGATGATCATAATGATATCAAGCGTGACCCGAGGATACTTTCTTACTCCCAGATCTGCCTTAAATTCACATCTCTCCCTCTTAAAGCCCTTCATGTGCCCCCACCCACTTTCCTAAAACTTCCTCCTTAAACTCCCCTTTGCTCCCTTATCCCTTTCCCCTCTCCCATGCCCTCTCTTCTCTAAGCTTTCTCTTCCTTCCTCTTACTATGCCTTTTCCTCTTTAAGTACCCTCCGTTCCCCTTCCCCCATCCCTTTTCCCTTTAAGCCCCTTTTAACCCCACCCCCTCGGATAGTCGTGTATAAAATGACGGTCTAACTACAATGCACTGAACCAGCCTCGAATAATAATAATAATAATAATAACAATAATAATAATAAAGATAAAGATCATGATAATGATTATAACAGGTAGCTGACTTCAAATTTGGATTCACATGGAATATTGATTCCAGGCATAAAATGCCCAATTTGCATCAAAATGAAGAAACTTTAAGTCCGCAGTCAGTTGGAATATGATTTCAGGCGTAAAATGTAAGCATAACGTGCGAACAGACGGACGGACAAAACACAGCTATATTATTATTATATTATCATTCATTTCATTATCATTATCATTATCATTATCATTATCATATCATTATATTTCATATTATTATTATTATTATTATTATTATTATATTATTATTATTTATTATATTATTTATATTATTATTATTGTTGTTGTTGTTGTGTTGTTGTAATGATTAATTTGATTATAATTATTCTGTAATATTTAAAATCAGTATTGTGATTGTGTCTGTAGTTGTCCTTTTTCAGGCGATAGCAAAACTTTTCCCGTGGAAGAGTCTCTTATTACCACCATCACCATTAGTAGCATAGCATTAGCATATATTTTTTTTATTAAGCAAGCAGTCTTGAGTAAAATTTGAAATGCGATTATTGCGAAGCCACTAAGCAGATGTAATGGAAATTATCCGGGAGCCTTAGCTAGTCGATTTTTTTTTTTTTTTTTTTGTATAATTTTATCTGTCTAAAGGTATGTCATTTACATATTCTATCATATTGTTTATCATACCACTTTAGTATCTGTGTTGTGGCGTTTGATTTATTTATTTTATCATTTGAATTATTGTCTATATAATTTTATTTATTTTAGGGTATTGTATTCATTGTATCATTTTATTCCTTCCAAGTTATATTAGAAAGAAAAAAATATAGATTTATTAAAAAGCGAAGGCACAAACCGAAAATTGTAAAGCTCGCTGATCGCCGCGATTGAAAGTTTGGAAACCGGGAAGGCCTTGTTAGTTTAGTCAGGGTCGGTCGGGTCGTCGCAGGTCGTCGAGGGTCGGCAGCGGTCGGGTCGCGGAGCGGTCGGTCGTCGGGTCGCAGGTCGGTAGCAAGCCGGTCTCGCGGAAGGTCGCAGCGGTCGGTCGTCGGGTCGGCAGGTCGGTCGCGGGTGAGGGTCGGTCGTCGGGGTGGAGCGGTCGTGTCCGCGGTCGGGTCGGTCGTTAGCGTCGTCGTCCAATCGCGCAAGTGCAGGTGGTCGTCGAGGTCGGCAGCGGTCGGTCGTCCGAGGTGGCAAAGCGGTCGTCGAGGGTCGGACGGTAAGGGTCGCAGTCGGTCGTCGAGTCGCGTCTCGCAGGGTCGGTCGCGAGGTCTCGGCGTGCGAGGCGGTCGGGTCGTCGAGGGTCCGAGCGGTCGGTTCGCGAGGGTCGGAGGGTCGGTCGTCGTGAGGTCGGTCGTCGAAGGCCGAGCGGGTCGTCGTCGGGCGCAGGGTCGGAGGTCGGTAGCGGTTCGTCGTCGTAAGCACGGTTCGTCGTCGGACGGCAGGTCGGTCGTCCGTCGGTTCGTGTCAGCGGTCGAGCGGTCGTGTTAGGTCAGCGAGGGTCGGCAGCGGTCGGTCGTCGAGGGTCGGGTAGCGGTCGTCGTCGAGGGTCGGCAGCGGTCGGTCGCGAGGGTCGGCAGCGGTCGTCGTCGGCAGCGGTCGGTCGTCGAGGGTCGGGTCGGTCGGTCGAGGGTCGGTAGGTCGGTCGTCGAGGGTCGGCAGCGGTCGGTCGGCAGGGTCGGAGGCGGTCGGTCGTCGGAGGTCGGCAGGGCGGTCGGTCGGCGAGGGTCGGCAGCGGTCGGTCGTCGAGGGTCGGCAGCGGTCGGTCGTCGAGGGTCGGCAGCGTCGGTCGTCGAGGGTCGCAGCGGGTCGTCGTCGAGGGTCGCAGCGGTCGGTCGCGAGGGTCGGCAGCGGTCGGTCGTCGAGGGTCGGCAGCGGTCGGTCGCGAGGGTCGGTCAGCGGTCGGTCCGGCGAGGGTCGGCAGCGTCGGTCGGCGAGGGTCGGCAGCGGTCGGTCGTCGAGGGTCGTAGCGGTCGGTCGTCCGAGGTCGGCGTCGGTCGGGTCGTCGAGGGTCGGCAGCGGATCGGTCGTCGAGGGTCCGGTCAGCGGGTCGGCGGTCGAGGGGTCGGCAGCGGTCGTCGTCGAGGTCGGCAGCGGTCGTCGGGTCGAGGGTCGGCAGCGGTCGGTCGTCGAGGGTCGGCAGCGGTCGGTCGGTCGGGGTCGCAGCGGTCCGGTCGGCACGGTCGTCGTCGAGGGTCGGCAGCGGTCGGTCGTCGAGGGTCGGCAGCGGTCGGTCGTCGAGGGTCGGCAAGCGGTCGGTCGTCGAGGGTCGGCAGCGGTCGGTCGTCGAGGTCGGCAAGCGGTCGGTCGTCGAGGGTGGCAGCGGTCGGTCGTCGAGGGTCGGTAGCGGTCGGTCGTCGAGGGTCGGCAGCGGTCGGTCGTCGAGGGTCGGCAGTCGGGTCGTCTAGGGTCGGCAGCGTCGGTCGCGAGGGTCCGGCAGCGGTCGGTCGTCGAGGGTCGGCAGCGGTCGGTCGTCGAGGGTCGGCAAGCGGTCGGTCGTCGAGGGTCGGCAGCCGGTCGGCAGCGGTCGGTCGTCGAGGGTCGGCAGTCGTCGAGGGTCGGCAGCGGTCGGTCGTCGAGCAGCGTCGTCGTCAAGCGGTCGGTCGGTCGTCGAGGGTCGGCAGCGGTCGGTCGTCGAGGTCGGCAGCGGTCGTCGTCGAGGGTCGGCAGGTCGGTCGTCGAGGGTTCGGCAGCGGTCGGTCGTCGTCGCAGAGGGTCGGCAGCGGTCGGTCGTCGAGGGTCGGCAGGGTCGAGGGTCGGCAGGCGTCGGTCGTCGAGGGTCGGCAGCGGTCGTCGTCGAGGGTCGGCAGCGGTCGTCGTCGAGGGTCGGCAGGTCGGTCGTCGAGGTCGGCAGCGGTCGGTCGTCGAGGGTCGCAGCGGTCGGTCGTCGAGGGTCGGCAGCGGTCGGTCGTCGAAGTCGGTCGTCGAGCAGTCCGGTCGGTCGTCTAGGGTCGGCAGCGGGTTGAAATTTAAAAATCCGGCAACCTCCGGACTTGAGGAGTGCCGATTTTTTATGGTTATGTATTTTGTATATACTTAACAATTGCGCAATTGTTTAAAGGAAGAAACTCAAACAATAAATAGAAAATAAATGGAATATTAATGCTGACCACCTAAATAATACATACATGCATACATTTTTTCTGAATCCAGTCACGGGGCTCTACAGCAGCAAAGACATGACAGATTGAGAAAGAATGCAGGATTGCCTGTTAACAAGTGTAAGCAAGACCCAATAATTGATTCTGGAGTGCAGCGCCATCAAAACACAAAACGGCGACTCCAGAGAATAGTTGCGAGCCAATGTGGTAAATTTGAAAATGAGCTACGAAATGGGTGCCGGAAAATTGAAGGAACCGGGTTATCGGTGGCCGGATTTTTGAATGTCGACAATTATATCTATTTCTCTCTCTCTCTCTCTCTCTCTCTCTCTCTCTCTCTCTCTCTCTCTCTCTCTCTCTCTCTCTCTCCTCTCTTCTCTCTCTCTCTCTCTCTCTCTTTCCGCCCTCCCTCCTTTTCGCTCTTTGTTTCACCCCTCCAAGTCCCTCTCCTCCCCCCCTTTCCTCCTCTCTCCTCCCCCCTCCCTCCCTCTGCGCCCCCTGTCAAAGGAAGTTTCCCGGCACTCATTATGAAAAGGGAATTTGAGCGGATGCGATTGGGTCGATCAAATAATTTGGGGCCGTTCTCAGTCTCCAAATGGATCCCCCCCTAATCCTTCCCCCTCTCTCCACCCCCTTATCCCCAACCCAATCAGCTTCCATTCTCCAAAAACACACAGGGAGGACGGGTAATAGCCATTAGCTAATTAAAGATGAATGGATGATTATGCCAAAGCGTCCGCAACTGGCTTTCGGGGATCCGGTGGAGTTGTTGGAGTGGCGGGCGGTGTGGGCGCGTTGAGGTTTTGGGCGTGACGTTGTATTTATTTATTATTATTATTAATTATATATATATTTTTTGAAGATGATGAATGATAGAATTATTTTATTTTTTTGTATGTATGCATGTCTGTATTTTCTTCTCTTCGTGCATGCTTGACGTGTCTTATTTGTGGATTTTTTTTTTTTGGTTTGGGTCTGGTAGTTTTTTTCTGTTCTATTTTTTAAATTCTTAAGATGCATTGTATGCATAAATACGCACACATGTGTATTTATAATATTCCTCTCTTGGTGTACACATTACTACTTTATTGAACATTTAACTTATTTGATGCCGTTTATACACTTTACTAAAATTCATATTCCCTTCATATCTGTAACTTCTGTACAGAACAGAGGATGTTTATTTGTGTGCGTATACTCTTTATTCTTTTATATTTTGTGTGAGTATAAAGTTTTGTTTTACTGTATCTGCATATACATAGTTTTCTCTTCATTTACTAATAACTTTCTTTTGTGAATGTTTACCTGATTTCTTCGTTGATATATGCTTTTTTTTCTCTAGTTTTGCTTAAAATTTTCTACTGTAGTTAAACATTGAAAGATCGTAGTAAAGTGTCAGGAATGGCCGACACGCTTTATGTTTATGTTATATTTGGAAACTGTGAATTGGAAATCCATTCAGATCCAAATAATTTCTCGTGATTACTTATAATTTCCTTTTCTGTTTCTCTCTCTCTCTCTCTCCTCTCTCTCTCTCTCTCTCTTCGTCTCTCTCTCTCTCTCTCTCTCTCTTCTCTCCCTCTTCTCTCCCTTCTCTCTCTCCCTCTCTCCCTCTCTCTCTCTCTCCTCCCTCACCACCCTCTCTCTCCCTCCCCACCCTCCCCAACCTCTCTCTCCCTCCCACCTTCCTTCTCTCCCTCCCTTCCCTCCCTCTCACGCGAAAAGATTCCTACGCGCGCAGAGACGAGCAGCCCTTCCGCCCAACGAGGGCTTTGCGAAACCTCCTCTTCGGGAACGGACTTATTATAGCCATAGCACTCAGAGTCCCATTTCCTCGTGGATTTAACCGAGTCCTGTTCTTCAGGGGACTTCTGTTTTGTGTCCCGAAAGATGTCGGGGTCAAGGGAGCGAGAGGGATCAAGTAGCTCGTGATTTGGAACTCTCGGTCTGGGTTCCGCTCCTTTCCTCTCCTCTCTCTCTCTGCCTCCTTTTCTTTCGCTTGTCAGGTTCTGAGGTTCTTCCCTGTATATCTTAGCCCCTGTTCGGAATCGTTCATCTCCTCTTGCGTCCTTTTTTTCTCTCGTTTCTTCCTGCCTCTTTTCTTGGTCTGACTCACTTCCCACATCCGTCTTTTCTTGTCTCTTCTTTCGGACCATTTCTTTCTTCTTCTCGTACATCTATTTCCTTCTCCCCTTTATCTCCTACTTTATCTTCTTCTTTTTCCAATCCCCCTTCTTCTTTTTCCTTGTTCCTTTTACCCGTTTTTTCTCCGCTCGTTTCCTACCATCTCTTCTCTTACTTCCGCAGTCTCTACCTCTTCCTTCCTAGATCGTTTCACTCTTCTTCTTGTCCTCTATCTCTTCTCTCCAACCTTTCCTTCCTTATCTGCTTTTCCTAGCACTTCTTCTACTCTCGCTTTGCCCTCTTCACCATTCTCTTACGTGTTTATTCGGCATCATATACTCCCGACCTTATCCCACACATCTCTTCTCTTACGCGAACTCGCTCACAATATTTACTCTATAAACTCTACTTACCCTCTCACCTGTCTTCGGTCTAACTTCTTCTACTCTCTGTATTTTCCATCTATCTGTTCTTTTCTTCTTGCATATCTTCAATCTCCTCTACGGCCTTTCTCCTCCGTTTACTCTTCGTCAATTTTCACCTTCCCTCCTACACACTTCTCAATGTCTCTCTCCTAAGCCCAGTTTGGACAACTCCTACAATACTAAACCTTTTCCATTCCTCTCATCACCGCCTTTCTCCGTTACTAACACCTCACCTCTACTATTATTTGCTTCAGTCTACAAACCGCGCTCCATCGTACACTTACTCCACTGCGATCCTCCGTCTATGCGTTTTCTAAACCCTCGACTTCCACCCTTTCTCTCTCGTCATTCTCTCACTATACCTTCTAGACTGGATCTCCTTCTTTCCAATCCTGAACCATTAAATGACAACTGAACACTAAACTCCATTCCCTCTTACCCCGTCTACCCTTCCCCAACCCGCTTACTCTACCTATCAGTATCTAATCTCCTCTCCTCTCCGCCTCTACCTCCTTCCATCTTCTAAAACTCTACTCTTCCCTTCCTCTTCATTGTCCCTTGTCTCTAGTATTCTCCCTCCTCCATCTACCCCTACCAACACCGCTTCATCTGACCGCTTCTCCTCTCGTATTTCGTACCTCCCCCTCCACTCTGGGCCCTACCTTCCGTCATCTAATAGTTCTTCTCCCTTCCCTCCCTCCTCCATCTACCCTACCCACCGCTTCATCTACCTTTCTCCTCTCGCTCTGCCGCTCCCTCCTCCAGCTCTTCTGCCCCTCCCTTCCCTCCTTCTCCCTTCTCCCTTCCCCCTTCCGCCTCTCTCTCCCCCTTCCTTGTGGACCCTTCACTCGAGGGACTCTTGTGCGTGGAGGGGACTTACCCGCCTGTGGAGGAGATGAAACATTCACCCTGCCTTCGTATCAGCATAAGTTTCCTGGTCGTGCCCGGTCGTCTCCAGAGTGCAGCCTCTTGAGGTGCATGATGCCGGGGCCTCCCTGCACGGAGAATTTTTGCTCTTTCTTTCTTTCTCGTCTTTACTTTTGTGTCTGCTCTCTCGATACTTTGTTTTCTCTTCGCTCTCCTTTGTCTTCGTCTCTAACACTGTCTTTGTATGCCTTTCTCTTGTTATATATGATTTTCTTTATTTGTTTTATGTTTATTTTTTTTCTGTCTCTTTCTCTCTTTTTTTCTTTATCCCTTTCTTTTTTCTTTTCTCTCTTCTTTTTTCATCTCTCCTTCATTTCTTCTCTCTCTCTCTCTCTCTCTCTCTCTCTCTCTCTCTCTCTCTCGTCTCTCCCAACTCTCTCTCGCATCTCTCTCTCTATCTCTCTCTCTCCTCTCCTCTGCTCTCCTCCCATACCCCAACGCCAGTCCCCTCACGGCAGTCATTACATATCTCTTACTCTCATAACTCAACTCCCTCTACCTCCTAATCTTATCTCTCATCTACTCCTCCAATCCTCTTGCCTCTCTCTTTCCCTCCTCGCCTCACCCCCATTACTACTCTTATCTCTTTCGTCTCTACTCTCTGGGCGCACTCTATCAGTTCTACCCCTCTCTCCCCTTTTCCCTCTGCAATGGCCGTCTCTCGCCACTCCTGCCGTCATCGCTTCACTCCCCATCTACTTGTCTCCTGTCTGTCCTACGGACGCCTTTAATTGGCGTCTCTGCGTTTTTGGGACTCTCTCTCAACTCTACTTTATTTGCCTCTCTGGCGTCTGTGACACGAGAATCGGGGAGTAAAAATGAGAGGATAAAGGAAAGACTACACTGGCTTTGAAGTTGCAGGAGGACGACCTCACTCTGGCAAGGAATTTTGGATGGATTTGTACATTAGTAGTTCGCTCTCATCTCATCTCTCTCCTGCTTACAAATCTCGTCCATCTCTACATCTCCACATCTACTCTCTCTCCTCCTCTCTCTCTTCTTTCTCTCTACTCTCTCTCTTCTCTTCTCTCTCTCTCTCTCTGACTCTCTCGTCTCTCATCTCTCTCTCAATCTCATCGCTCTCTCTCTCTCTCCTCACCCCCCCCTCTCTCTCGTCATCTCTCTTCTCCCTCTTCCCTCTCCTCCTCTCCCTTCACCTCCCTCCCTCCCTCCTCCCCTCTCATCTCTCTTCCCTCCCTGTACGTGTTGTCCTCTCTGGCGTTGCCCCCGAGATCGAGTGTGTTTTTGGCATGCAGAAGGTCGAGGAGGTTTGAATGTGAAGGTTATAAAGAACGGGGAAGCGCTCGAGACTCGCTTAGACCCCACTTTTTGGTTTGTCTAAATATTAGGAGATGGGAATAGTGTGAATGTTCTGGTTGCGGAATTTAATTGTTTCTGTTTTGTGGTGAATGTTGGGCTGTTTGTATTGAATAAAAACACACAAAAAAGACACTGTGTTTTCAATCTCCATTGATTTAATTTGCATTAAAAAATTTTTGATTTCGCGTTTGTTCCATTAAAGGTCAAAAAAAAACAGCATATATATGATTACATAGTCGGCCTGTTATCACCCTTTTAAGAAAGATGTTATCACATTTATAAAGAGGTTTATATACCTTTTATAAGAGATTTGTCTGACGCATGCAGGGCAAGTGTACATTTCCTGCCTATTGGACGTATAATATCAAGCTAGGTAATAAACAATCAAAAGGCCTATGTTTTTGAGATGAAGTAAGAATTAGAGTACTAATTTAGCAGGCAAAGACGCAGCTTCTTAAAAGAGCAGTATAGGAAACATGACGATCGTTTTGGGTTTGAGTCGATGTTTTTTTATTTTTTAATTTTTACTCAAAAGAATTATATAGCAAAACTTACAAACATTAATAAAACAGGTGGACATGAGATAGATAGTCCGCAAATCAACGAAAAAAATTTACAGACCAATACCACGAACGGAAGAAAAAACGTACAACAACAACAAACAAACCACTCGGATTTCACACGCCACAAAGACACCCTTCGTTCTTTCTTTCAAGAGTTCCGATATCCACTCGTACGCCACACTGACATGTATAAGAGAAGTATTAGATCGTATTACTATCGCCACGTGACACTACCAGCAAAACGGTTAGAAGAAGATAAAACACGAAAAAAGGGTGATGTCCTCAAGTGGTCATTATTTTCGTATAAAATCTTTTTTAAAATCAGTTTATATTATAAGATAATAAAAAAAACGACAACGATGAACTCTTGAGTCTCGACGATCATAGCTTTCCTAGAGACTTGAGAGTTATTTACTCCTTAGAGGCAAAGAAATTCGACCGCATGCGCTAATGTTACCAAGCCACACCTACACCCAGAATGGCTAGCGCTTTACTCGCTACAGTCAACTCCGGGTTTCACATTGATTTCCATCTTCGTGGTTGCCCTTAGCATTGGTCTCTCGTGCCGAGCAGCACGCAGCAGCGCAGCAGATTCCTCATTTCATAAGATCGTCGTACCGCAGAACATAATCTCGGGCGCGGGCTGTGAATGCTTCGCTGAACTTTCCCAATTGCATTTTTCGAGCGTTGTGGGTCAGGGCTACTGCAGGATCCTTGCATCTTGTGGTTTGTTACACTCATTATCCTTATCGAACTTCGAAGACTCTCTCCTCTCTCCTTCGACCTCTCCTCTTCTTCTCTTCCTCTCCTTCAGCCGCTTAACTGTACCGCAAGCACCACGAGAGGCACGCACGCACGCACGCAGGCACGCACGCAACGGCACGCCGCACGCACGGCACGCACACACCCAGCACACACACACTAGAGTGTACACACACACACACACAATGCACACACTAACACAGGGTCTACACCACCAACTTCACACACAACATACACAACACACACACACACACACAACACACACACAACACACCTCCAGTGCTTTTTCGTGGAGAAATAGTAGGGCGGCGCCGCGCGGATGGACGAGGACGGAGAGCGTGAAGAAGGTCGTCATGAGGAGGGAAGGAGAGGGCGGAGAGGATCGGCGGAAGGAAGGAAGGAAGGAAGGAGAGGCTGGAGAAGGTGTGATGCGCGCGACGGTGCCGAGGGAGGAGTTTTGATTGATGTTTGGGAGGGCGTATGTTTTTTTTTCTTTTTTTTTTTTTTAGTATTTAGTATGTTGATGTTCGTTTTTGGTAATTAATTGTTTGGAGATGAATAGTCTTGATAAACGATATAGCTCTGTTTCTCTCTCTCTCTCTCTCTCTCTCTCTCATCTCTCTCTCTCTCTCTCTCCTCTCTCTCTCTCTCTCTCTCTCTCTCTTCTCTCTCTCTCTCTCTCTCTCTCTCTCTCTCTCTCTCTCTCTCTCTCTCTGCGCTCCGCGGTGTGTGTGTGTGTGTGTGTGTGTGTGTGGTGTGTGTGTGTGTGTGTGTGTGTGTGTGTGTGTGTGTGTGTGTGTGTGTGTGTGTGTTATACATTATGTTTTCAGCAGAATCGAGGACTATATATAAAGGGTAGATGGTCTATTTTGATTATCATGAATAAGATGTCTTTGCTTATTTCAACAATGTTCACGAAAAATAGATATGAACCAGTGATAAAGCAGGGTATGATAGTGAAAATATGATAGCATATTACATGACAATAATTATAATAAAGAATGCGGATGTAATCTATTTATTACAAAAGGCAGGGGAATGGAAAGGGTCTGAGGGTGAAGGAGGGAGAGGGTTAGTGGGGGGGAGGGAAGATGTGGTGTGAGGGTCAGGGGTGGGAGGGGAGAGAGAGGTGAGGCGTGTGAGGGGTCAGGGGTGGGGATGAGAGGGGAGAGGAAGATGGGGTGTGGGTCAGGGGGTGAGAGGGGAGAGAGAAGGTGAGGCGTGAGGGTCAGGGGTGGGGAGAGAGGGGAGAGGGAAGGTGGGTGTAAGGGGTCAGGGGGTGAGAGGGAGAGAGAAGGTGAGGCGTGAGGGTCAGGGGGGGATGAGAGGGGAGAGGGAAGGTGGGGTGTGAGGGTCAGGGGGTGAGAGGGGAGAGAGAAGGTGAGGCGGGAGGGTCAGTGGGGATGAGAGGGAGAGGGAAGATGGGGTGTGAGGGTCAGGGGGTGGGAGGGGAGAGAGAAGGTGAGGCGTGAGGGGTCAGGGGTGGGGGAGGGTGGGAAGGTGGGGTGTAAGGCCAGGGGGTGGGGTGAGAGGGGAGAGGGAAGATGGGGTGTGAGGGGTCAGGGGTGGGGATGAGAGGGGAGAGGGAGTGTGGATCGGGGGTGGGGTGAGAGGGAGAGGAAGTGAGGCGTGAGGGGTCAGGGTGTGAGGGTGAGGGGGGGGGTGAGAGGGGAGAGGGAAGGTGGGGTGTAAGGGGTCAGGGGGTGGGGGTGAGAGGGGAGAGAGAAGTGAGGCGTGAGGGGTCAGGGGGTGGGGGTGAGAGGGGAGAGAGAAGGTGAGGCGTGAGGGGTGAGAGGGGAGAGGGAAGGTGGGTGTGAGGGGTTAGGAGGTGGGGTTAAATCGGAGGAAGGAGGGAGGAGGCGGAGAGGGATGGGGAGTAGCTGGGTGAAGGAAGGGGGGTTGGAAAGGACGAAGAGGTCGGGCAGGTGGAGGGAGGCAGGGAGGATGGAGGAAGGAGGGGGGGGGGGGAGAAGGTGGAGAAGTGGAGAGAGTGTAGTTGGGGGGGGGGCGGGGATAGGTCATGTGCAAAGGACAGATGGGATGACGAGACTAAGTGGATCAATGGCGTCGATAGAAGGGTTTAGACGCGCGAGCTTCCGGTCGGTCCGTCTCTGCGATACCTCCTTCCTGGGGCTGGGGTGGGGGGAAGGGAGTAGGAAAGGGTGGATAAATGATATAGGACCGAGAAGGAGGGAAGAAAAGATGTAGGAAGCTGATTATTAGAGATAGTGTCGAATAATGGGGGTTTGGTTGATACAGTGAGATGTTGATGATTGTATCAGAGATGGAATTATTTGTAAGGATAAGATTATGAAATGGGATAGCATGTTCAATTTCAGTTAAATTGTATACGAACGGAGATGAAGCTCACCGAAAGAAACGGGGAGTGAGAAAGGAAGCAAGACATTTTAAAAGCAGTAAGACATTTTAGAATTAGTAAAAAAAAAAGGAAGTAGGATTGAGAGAGGAAGCAAGAAATTTAAAAAGTGCAAGGGATTCTAGCGGAGGGCGGGGGGGGGGGGGGGCGATAGCGAGCCTTTGCAACTTCACAACATTCTCAGGCGATCACCTCGGGCGCACAAGGAGTGAAGGAAGCATCACTCTTTTTATGCCAGAACTCGAGCCTTAGTGTGAGTGCATTATGCCCTGGTGCGGAGGCGGGGACGAGGAGGAAGAGCGATTGGGTGGGTAATCGCCCGGAGGATTAGTGTGTGATTAGTATGACTTTGGGGAGACTGGAAACGGTGATAAGCGTGTTGATTAGCGCTCTTAATTTATAGATAAGGAAGGGCATGGCGATAATGGGGCACCGATGATTAGGGTGAAGGTGATTGATGGATAAGGTGTGAATAGGATTGGTTGATGAACTCGATTTGTGGGGCGATTAGGATATATGATGATCATACGTTTCGACTTGGGCAAATAGGGTTAAACGCCGTGATTTGTGATATTTAGTGGAGACAAAAACAAATTACAGGACTATAGATATAACGAGTGTTATTTGAATTTCCGGATCAGACGAAACTATTTAATAATAGATATTAGGATAATTAAAAAATAAATAAAAGAAGCAGGTCAGAAAAAACAGTCAAATTGGAATAAACAAGATGAAATAAAATGACAAAAAATGAATTAGGAAAATGATTGAACATAGTCAGAAACCACGATGAGAAATTGATTAAATAAGAACATTAGAAAAGGAAAAAAAGTCTGGAAAAATCTATAAACAAAACAAGCTCAAAGGTCACAGTAAAACGAGACCAAAAAGATTAATGTGCAAAAACAATAATTTAGAATAAAAACAAGAAAGTG